ATACCAATCTTCTGGGGAATTCCTGATGACTTCTACTAGGGAGTTCCAATCTAACAGACTCATGCTGGGGAGGTAAGACTGAGAATCTTCAGTTTGGAGGGAAGTATCTCTGTGGGGAGAAGGTTCCCTAGTCTGGCTCCGCTAGGGATTGATAATTTGAAGTTTTAGCTTCACTGGGGATAATGAAACTTGACTCTGAGTGGAGTTAGCTTCTGGAAGGTTCTCTGGCTGGGGATTGCCAGAGTCCTCTGATTGCTGCAGGTGAAGGCTTGGAATCTGAACAATCGATAGATTGACATCCGTTACTGGAGAATCCGTAAACTGTTTTCAGAATGTTGAGAAGTGTCTGAACAAGCGATAGGTTAACATCCGTTACTGAAGAACCCGTGAACTGTTTTCAGAACGTTGAGAAGAGTCTGAACAAGCGATAGGTTAACATCCGTTACTGGAGAACCCGTAAACTGTTTTCAGAAGTCTTGAAGTTGAATAAGCAATAGAGCAGCATCCGTTGTTGGGAAGCGTCCGTAAACTGTTTTCAAAGGTTGCATCTGAACAAGTAATAGATTAACATCCGTTGTTGGGAAGAATCCATAAACTGTTTGCAGAAGTCTTGAGGTTGAATAAGCAATAGAGCAGCATCCGTTGTTGGGAAGCGTCCGTAAACTATTTTCAAAGGTTGCATCTGAACAAGTAATAGATTAACATCCGTTGTTGGGAAGAATCCATAAACTGTTTTCAGAAGTCTTGAGGAGAATCTGAACAAGCGATAGGTTAACATCCGTTACTGGAGAACCCGTGAACTGTTTTCAGAAATCTTGAAGTTGAAGGAGGAACCGGTGTAGGGTTTCCGGATGATGAGCTCGTGTAAAACTGCATCTGGATGAATCTGGAATAAGTGTCAGAATGTCGCCGTGTTCGGGTCACATCTGAACTATTTCTTGAAAGTCTGAATGAGTTATAGAATGTCGCCATCTCTGGGTCACATCTTGAACTACATCTTGTCTTTTGAGGTGATAAGGAAATTGTTGAACACTTTTGACATTCGAATGCCCCAAATGGTGATGAAGGAGTCTTGAATCAGATTACTCTACATATTGAGAGATTTCTTGAAATCTTGACTGGACTGCCCCAGGTTAACTGAACTTTGAAAGATCTATTGAAACTTGACTGGACTGCCCCAGGTTAATTGGATTTTGAAAGATCTGTTGGACCTCGACTGGACTGCCCCAGGTTAATTGGATGGTGACATGTCATGCCCCCTGCTGATAGGAGATTTGCAATGGAAGTGTTATCCTCTTGAAGTGATTTTTACTTACTGAGAGAGTTTTCGTTCCTCCGAACATTTGCTGTATGAATTTCTTCGCTGTCAAACAAAAAGCCAAATGCAGACAGTGATATTCAAATAATGCAAAGTTTATGTTTGTCTCGAAGTTTTGAAAAATGCGTTTTTAGCAGAAAACTTTTCATAAGACAAGTCAACACAAGATTTAGAGTAAAGCCCTACAGGAGTCAGGATACCTATTGTAACAGTATGCTTTCGAACTAACCCATGCTTCAATTAGGACTTTTGAAGGGTTGTAGCGTGGCTTGGTTCACGGTTTAAGAAACAAAGGATATAGGCTCAAAGTATATTTGTACCCACCTGCTCTTCGTGATGTTCTCCAACCTAAGCTCAGTTAATTGTGCGTCATACTCTGTTTTGAGTTTGGAACGACTTTCGGGCGATGGTTCATCAGTTGAATTTGGGGGGACAGTCATCATCTCCTTTTTCTTTTTCAACATTTTTCATGTTGTTGAGGATTTTGTAATGACCTCACTATTTTGATTTTGATTTGTTATCCCTAACTTTTGCCTGACTGTTCCCAATTTCGCGATTACAGTCAGCGGGATGCCCCAGCTTTCTTAAGCCTCCTTTATAGGTTTTGGCTTGGTGGGATTTTCTCTTTTGAGAGATTGACTGTCTATGTGATAGGGAACCACCCTTGTCTTTTGATTCCAAAGGAATGCTTTCTTTTTTGACGTCGTTCATTATATTATGAACTGAGAATTTGCGACTTCAATGCACATTTTCTTTTGAATTAAACTGAGAGACTACCCTGCCCCAGGTTTATATCAAAGGTTTTGATTGTTTAGAACAGAAAACTCATACTTCTTTGGCTCGAAGGGGTTGACTAGGGATTAACTTCCTTATAACTCCAGTGTTTGGGAATTGAAAGAAATTCCTGTAGATCATCAGCAAGGTCTGTTCAAAAGCATATTGTATGAGATTATGGTATTGTTTCGTCATCCTCCCTCTAAAGGCTTGCAGCTTTTTATCAAGAGTCAAATATCATAAAGAAAAGTATAAGATTAGTGAAACAAATGGATGAATTCAAGACAAACGTATGCAATGCATTAATGAAAACAGAGTTTAACATCAACAAATAACTGTTTGACAGCAAAAGAAATTACAACTTTGAAAATTCAAAAATGAAGGAAAAGTCTTTCAGCTTGAGCTTCGTCACTTCAGGTGGAGCACTCTTTAACGGAAGATTTTCATCTCACCGTCTGGCATGAATTCCAGCACTCCAATGTCGATCAGATCTTGAATCTTGTTCTTCAAGGCCCAACAGTCGTTGGTGTCGTGTCCCGGGCTGTAGGAGTGGTAAACACAAAATGCGTCGGGATGATAGTGAGGAGAGGAGGTATTGAGCTTCTGAGGAGGATCCTTTAAGGTAAGCAGGTTGACCTCCAACAGGCGCTTCAGTATGAAGAATGATGGTATTTCAGTCTCCGTGAACTGTCTTCCCGACATTTCTTGCTTACGCCAATTACCCCGTTGACGCTGGCGAGGTTGTTGATGGGCTTGTGACCCTGAAGCAAGCGAAGGAGCCTTCCCCTTGTCTTCTTGAGTGGATGGAGGCTGAGCGGTGACTTGCTCTTCAACCTCAGATGTTTTCCCCAATTGGTTGTTTGGAAGCAGTTGGCGGACAAGAACTCTGAGTTCCTCTTGTCTTTGAGATAGGTCTTGGATGAGAGCCATCTGGCCCACCAACTGTCCCATCATTTGGGTCCTCAATGTTGTCAGATCAAACTGCATCTCTGCAAGCTGATCACTCCTGGCATTGTTGGAATTCTCCAAGCCCTTTGTGAGGAGAGCTTTCATTTCTTCTTGCCCCAGAGACAAGTTCAGAAACATCTCCTGCAGCTGAGCAGTCTGGTCTTGGATGTCTTTGACAGACCTTTCTAGAGCCATCTCTTACTGAAATAAACAGCAGGAGAGTAAGGAAACCTGAAAAAGGAAAAACTGTCAAAATGCAATGCATGATATGTGGATGCATGCTTTCAAGGATCTCTTGGGGTAAACACAAGAAAATGTTAGAGGTTGAACTTGGATCTTTGATTGGAGAACTTTGCACCGGTGGATGTCTTTCCACTAGAATCAAGCTCACCATGTCGAGTGGGTCATAGCCACTGATTCAAGTTGTTGTACTTGAACTTTGACTGGAGAACTTTGTATCGGTGGATGTCTTTCCACGAGAATCAAGCTCACCATGTCGAGTGGGTCATAGCCACTGATTCAAGTTGTTGTACTTGAACTTTGACTGGAGAACTTTGTATCGGTGGATGCCTTTCCACGAGAATCAAGCTCACCATGTCGAGTGGGTCATAGCCACTGATTCAAGTTGTTGTACTTGAACTTTGACTGGAGAACTTTGTATCAGTGGATGCCTTTCCACGAGAATCAAGCTCACCATGTCGAGTGGGTCATAGCGACTGATTCAAGTTGTTGTACTTGATCTTTGACTGGAGAACTTTGTTTAGAGGAGAAACCTCTTGCCCCTTGGTAGATGTCTGGTTCAACGTAACCCTGCATCAAAAGAACCTTCGAGATCCTTGAAATGGTTATTGAAAATGCTATGGTATGATGTTATGATGTTATGTACATGTATGCAAAAAGCAAGTGAGTGTATATACAGGCAAACATATTCACACAAAGCAAACAAGTCCTTAGATTTAGGCTTGCATGAGGATTAGGTAAGTACCCTCTTGAAGTTAGTTGGCTCATCCTGTCTTAAAATAGAAACCGGGTTCTAAGGAGCTCAATATCATTGGATTGTTTTCTGTGTTCATTGTTTCGGTTTAGCCACTTACTGGCGACCAAAATATTCCAAGAAAACAACCCTCAAATCACTACAAGAAAAATGATAGATTGGGACGGTTATTTTGGCTGATTACGACGGTTAAAACCGTCGCAATTTACAATCTACGACGGTAGAAGTACCGTCGCAGAATCGTGCGTCCCCAGCCTATTTCGCGACGGTTGCAAAAACTGTCACGCACAACAGATAGCGACGGTTATATACCGTCGTGAATTTGACTTTATTTTTTGTTTTTGTTGTTGTTTGCGACGGTTATATACCGTCGTGAATTTGACTTTATTTTTTGTTGTTGTTGTTTGCGACGGTTATATACCGTCGTGAATTTGACTTTATTTTTTGTTGTTGTTGTTTGCGACGGTTATATACCGTCGTGAATTTGACTTTAACCGTCGTAATCTGATTTATAAATTTCAAATAATATTTTTATTTAAATTATTATTTAGTAAAATAATTTTAAATATAATATTATTTTACTATAATATTTTACTATTATATTTAAATTATTATTTACTTTAATATTTTTTTATTTATAGTATTTTTATTTTATTTTCTATCACTTTTCAACATTGTTTTGAAATGAGCAATCCAATTGTTTTGAAATATTTACTAACTCAGTATTATTAATTCAGTTGGGAAACCATTTGTAAAATAATGCAAGGAGACATTGCTTTTGCTATTGAAGCGTGAGATTTCCGTGAGATACCAGTACTTATTATTGGGAGAAAAGATTTATGAATTATTGCACATTGTAATATGCTTATACCACCTTATAACTTTGCTACAAGTTACCTATAACAAGTGAGATTTTCCGATTTTCAGGAACTATAACAAAAAGAGGTTAGCTCCGAAATCTCTTGATCATTTTGCAATCTTTGCAGCCATTTCTCTGACCAACTTAGCAGCTACCATAGCAGTCATTCCATCAACAGTATCGCGTTGTGGGTTGAGTTCAACGACGTCTCCAGCAACAACATCACCTTGAAGATTGTGTAGGATGTTAAGAACATCGCGGAAAGAAAGACCTCCCGGTTCAATATGAGACACTCCCGGAGCAAATGCAGGATCAAGACAATCCACGTCTATCGAGATATACACCCCTTTCACACCTTCCCCTAGTTTCTGCACAAGGAAATCACCAAGGTTTAAAAAGAACATACAAATGCACAAGTTAGTATCAATACATGTTTGGAATTTACTATGCGCACGCGTGCGTACGTGCATATATACACGAGCATACAAACACGGAGGCAGAGAGAGACATACCTGCTAATGATAAGTTAGGATAATTTTTATTTTTGTTATAACTACCAAAACTGACACCAGGCAGTTTTGACAGACCTTCGTCTGCTATAACATTTTTTCCTAGTTTGCTTTATATAAGGCAAACATGTGTTAGCTTGTAACTAAATTTTTCACATCAATGTAAATGAAAACACTTACTCTACAATCTAATAATTTTATATATAACCTATTAAGCATAACATACAAAAACCAAAAGGATTAGGGTGTTATTTGGGAAAGAAAACACCCAAAGTAGGCACTGCCGTAGTACACCAGGCCATCCTCCCTGGTACAAAAATCTGAGGTGCTTATCTCCTGTCCGTAAAGAGGGCTATGGCTCATACTGGCCTAGGGCCTTTTTTTCTTCCTTGAATTTCCTACACACAGCCAAACCAACACTCCTTCTCACTAACATGGATCACTCAAAGATAATTCCAATCATCAATTCAGTACTCGAACGAAAGGGAACTATCATATAATATTTAATCAAGTGATATACAAAGTATCTCATCAAACAAAACATAAGCAAGTAACCTAGTTCATCCTAAATAAAATCAAAACCTAAAAGAACCCCCACCTTATCTTTGATTTTGAATCCAAGATATGAAATAGTGGAGTCAATTGAGGTTTCTTTATGATATTTTACTTTTGCTTGTGCACGTCCTTCAGCTGTTATTGATCGAATACCAACCTGAAATGTATTAAAAAGCATTGTTTTGGCAAAAGGTTACAGTTTGTAGTTTCAACAAAATCACGGCGCCACCTTGATTTTATACTTATCAACAATAAAAGATTACCTGCAAGAGTCGCCGAACATAGTCACCCTCCATGACACGAGCAAAGGAAGAAGCATGCGAATAAATGTTCCCTTCAAATGCATCATAGTTGCCAGGATGCGCATCAATATGAAGAACATCAACTGGTCCTCCAAGCTTCTCCGAGACAGCTCTAATAACTGGAAATGATATTGAGTGATCACCACCTAAAACTAAGGGTCTTAGAGGAGCCTAAAAGAATATAAACAACACGAGGATCAAGCAAGTTCGAACAGAAAGTTATCTGCAAAATGTTATAATACATATCTCTTGTTTTGCGTTAGACTTCAAGATTCATAGATTGACTTAAAAATATAATACATGTTGCTGATCCAGCTGTAAGAGTCATAATATCTCCATTCGTTTTCGCATTAATAGCCAAGTCGACTGCAGTTGCAATTTGTTCATGTTCAGCTCCCATATATTCTACAATTTCAAGGCAGTGAGAGGCTACTAAAGAAGTTGCAGTAGCAACTGCAACATAAGCCATATCATTAGGCTTTATATTCCTCTCCAACCCCCTTTCCCTACTTTCTGCAATCCAACCAAGAACAACTTATGCTCTTCCTCCATCCATTCAAAAATTCACACACAAATCAATAACATTAATCGCGTTTTAATTTCAACCAATTTAATCAACATCGACTATTATTGGATTAAATTTCTAACAGAAAAAAGTTAACCAATCAGATATAAATGATCAAACCTTGTTTATGCTCACGTTTGCAGTTCATGCCGGAGTTAATTGGAATAGCATCGTCAGCAGAGGCGTAACCGGCAGCGATAGCGTCTTTGTTATTATCGTCATTGATATAGTAATGGATGTGACCTGAGAACAAAATGTATTTATACTAATACAATAAATGCACTGGATAAATCTGTTAATGGGACTTTGTAAATCTGAAAATTAATATACAAAGATATGGTTCCATAAGTTTTTATATTGTATACACAAAGTATACACAAAGGTAGCATTAGCAAGCAATAACTAACATGCTCAATTTTCAGGACAAATATTGTGCCTTCTATGAAGTAAAAAAAGGTTACACCAAAGGCAGTTCATGAAATTTTAATAGCATTCACTGCCCTGGGTTTTTTAACCTTTTCTTGTCCGAATATGGGCAATATCACAATAACAATACTAAAGAGCTTTCAACTTTTCAAAAAACTTCCAATTCATATTTCTTAAACTTCACCTGGCACTTGTCATAACTAATAAAAACCTAAATTACATACTACTTCCAAACATGCTCTAAGTAATTACAGTGAAAGACCACGATGATTCATAAGGTAATGTATGTTAGGTTTCATGTTTGGAGCTCCCAGAATTGATTTTGGATATGTAGAATTAATTGACATTTTGCTTGCTCTCGAGTAAAATTGTTTATGCTTTTAAGAATTGGTTCTTCTACTTGAAGCTAGGATATGATGCTTTTGATTCTTCTACTTGGTCGCTCTCAAGTAAGAATTTAATCGCTTCATTCTCAACTCACTTTTAGTTGAAATCAATTTTCTTCACCGCAGAACCAAACACACTGTACGGCAAGACTTGAAGCTTCTTAAAAGTTGCAGTTGAATAGTGTTTGATGTGAGTTTAAGCATTCAAACATTTAACCAAACACTCACTTAACCCTGTGTTTGGAGACCCGGCGGAATGTCTTTCAGATGCGGTGGTGAGTGAAGCTTAAGTTTGTAGCTTTGAACTAAACTGACATTGGTATCGTGAGAACAATGAAAGCCAAACACAAACCAAGTCCTAATGTCAAAAGCATCGTCAATCTAAACATACACTGGCACAGATAAACAAGTACTTGCTCACTACTACTTTATGCTTATTTAACTCCATACCCTTCCCCCATAGAATCCAATGTCATATGAACACACTACAACTCTATTATTCACAATTTGAACTCGTAAGACTACAAAAGAGAAAGAAAAGAAGTAACAACGCACCTCTTCTGTGTTTGACAACAACTTTACAGAAGAAATTTAGGACTTGAAAAGGGATTTAGGGTTTGAGAAGACAAACCTGTTAAGATTCAAATTGATGGTGGTTACTTTGACGGCGCGTGTGGCTGAGAGAAATTATTTGGCGATGATACAAAACCCTAAACCCATTTGCGTGGCTGAGTGAAATTATTTGATGATGAATCAAAACCCTAACTCATTTGTGTGCATGAATTCTGTTTGGCAGTGAAGACAAAACGCAAGGGCACTGCGCGAAATATAAGTTATTGGATGACGACGGTAGGACTCTGTCGTGGATGTTTTGTAATTGTAGGCGACGGTATTTTCACCGTCGTGGTCTTTGATGATTTTTAAATAATTTTTTTCAAGTAATTAATTAGATGGTCTTTGGTAATTTATTTTATTATTATTATTATTATTATTATTATTATTATTATTATTATTATTATTATTATTATTATTATTATTATTATTATTATTATTATTATTATTATTATTAATAAAAGAGAAAAAGAAGGGGAAATGAAAGAAAAAAGTGGGAAAGTAAAAGAATAAAAAAAAGTAGCGATTATGATTGGCTAATGTAGTTACGACAGTTCACCTAATTGTCGCGGATGTGAAAAGAGGGCGGTTTTTTGGTAACTGTCGCAATTATGTTACTCATAATGCTTGAAAATCTACGACGGTTGAGCCTAACCGTCGTGACAACTGTCGCAATTCAGGAATAAGGACGGTTTTGTGGGAACTGTCGCAATTTATGTGTCGTAAATCTCTTTTTTTCTTGTAGTGAATGAGTGTAGTATCGAGTATCTACCAACTTCGGACTGCACCAAAGTCGGTCATCTCACTACCCCTAAAAAGGCTAAGATGGTCAATTAAGGTTCTAAGAGTTCGTTAGTGCTTCACGATATCACTCAGCGGCCCCGTACTCTCCTTGATTGAACTCAAGGGTTACCGGTACTCACAAATATGTCACACTAACATAGCTTACTGCTTCAACCGTGTCGGTATACCCCGCACAGTTCCCTCACAGTTTTTTTGCTATTTACCTAAGAAGGTGCCCCAAATTTGGGTGTAGGATTCACAACAAACCCAAACAAGAACCCAAAAGATAAAGCAATCAAGTCAATCAAAGCAAGAAAGTAAAGGTGATCTAAACCCTAAGGTAACCCCACTTTTAAGTATCCTCCCCAACAGAGTCGTCAGTTCTGTGATACGGTGGGAGAACTGACTATGTGTTTTGCGTTTGTATTCGCACTTGTTCGGTTGAGCAAGAGTCGCCACCGACTTTTTATTTTATCCTAAAGGAAAGGTTAAAAAAAAGCACAGCAAAAACCTTTTGAGATATTTCGTGGGTTCGGGGGGTAGATTATGAAAAGGGAAGGTATTAGCACCCTTTTCATCCATGATTATCCATGGGCTCTTAGTTACTTGGTTTTTTAGATCACTTGCCATGATTTTCGATTGCTTGAAAATGGTGCGTGTGTGTGTGTGTTTGAAAATGTTTTGGAAGAAGATGCCTTGTCTTAGGCTACCCTTGTAACAATTCTTTACTCGAATGTTTTACAAAGGTGTGTATCTTTTCGAAAAGATGTTTCAAATGTTTTTGAGAGTTTGTTTTGAAAGTGTTTGTGGAATGTGGTTTTTGAAAAGAAGGCAAGTGTTTTTGCAAGTTGATCTCAAGTAACTAAGAGTTTTGTCTACCCTATTGTACTCAAAGGTTTTCTCTATGTTTTCAACCCTTTTTAACAATTTTGTTCCACCATTGCATTTGGTGGACAATCTTGCGTTTTAGGATGTTTAATGGGACGGGCGCGGGTCATCGTATGGACCATGAATGCAATGGTGCCAAGTGTCTTTGGCAATTTTCTTTGAAGGGACCATGATCATTCTATTTAGGCAACTTTCGAAAGCGTCATCGAGGGACTTATGATCATTTGAATTTGTTTTGCCAAAGATACTCGACGTGCAAGCATGGCCCATTTTGGAAGGCAACATGTGGGATTACCCTAGAGGGTGCAAGTGTGATTGTGTATTGATTTCATGTATTTGTCTTGTATTAGATTATCTAGCGTTTGATTTTATGTACATGCAAACCCTAGGTCTAACCATGGTATAATTCGAAAGCGGTAAATTGCAAGAATTTAAAGTCTACGCTATTACAAAATAAGTATCCGGGAATGGGGGTACAAATTTACGAATGGGGATGAGACTTAGGAATATAATGTTCAATAAGTTACAACCAAATCGAATTTGCGATCAAATGTAAGTGTAACGATTATACAAATATAAGTAAACGTACAATGTATCAAATGCAAGTATATTGTGTAAGTGCACATGTATATGTATATGTAATTATTTACAGGTTAGAGATGTGAATTCGAATGTATATTAAACATTGTTTAACCTAAGTGAAAAGAATTAAATATCTATTTACTTAGTCTTTTGTATTTTCTTTGATATGTACAAAAAGAATGTCTTAAGAAAAGAAGATATTCTAAGTTTGAAAATTGTCATTTTACATTTTTGATATAAAAGTGTATCTTTATAATTTGTATATACAAAAGAATACTCTCATTTAAATGTTAAGAATTTAAATTATGTAAAATGTATTTTTATTTATTATGCACAAAAAGCATTTTAATTAAATGTTTTAAAGTTTATGTACAAAGAATGGTATTTACTTAAAAGAAAAAGGTTTTACATTTTAATTGTATTGTGTAATAAAAAATGTATACAAATTATTAACTAAAAACGTTTTAAGTTAAAATAAAGAATGAGTTTTAATTAAAAGGATAAGTTATATTCAAGGTTATAAAAAGAATAATTTAATGTAAGAAAAAGGGTTATGTTAAATAACAAAGGGTTTTAAATTTTAAAGAAAAGGGTTTGAATGGGCCCAAACCCAAAAATATTCAGAAGCAGGGGGGGTGTCATTTAGGAATACAGTGGGCTTTAGGCGTGGTTGAAACGGGCAAGGCCCAGCATGCTTGAAACAAGTTTTAGGGTTAATTGTTTTGTGTTCAGTTTGACATACGCTTAGGGTTTGTGAGCAGCGGCGGCATCGCTTGTTCGTTTTGCTTTGTATTCTCCATTTGCCTTTGTCCTTTGGCCATGGTTGTTGAATAACGCCTCCTCGCCTGAGCTACTAACGCTACCCCCTAAACTCTCCTTCCTCCATAGCTCGAGCCCAATGGTCTTACAAAAACAAGGTTTGATCTTGATGCTTTATATTCTTTTACGAGTTTCATGCTTATTTCGTTTTGAATTTTGACCTTAAACTTTTATTATTGAGGTGGCGGAAGAAAAAGAGAGAGAAAGGCGTACTACCTTCGGTCTTGGAGAAGGAGGAGAGGTAGGGTAGGTGGCGCTCCGGAAGCTTGCCGGTGGGGATGCGGTGCTGATGATCTCTTTTAGCTTCCTGGTATCTTTACCTTTTTGCCATTTTAGGGTTTCATGATGATATTGCACTGAAAACCCTTTTAAAAATTCACTTCTTTATCTCTTCTCCTCGTTGGCTTGCCTTTGTTGCCTAGTTTACTCGTATGCTTGTGTTGCTTGCTCAATATGCTGTACTGATGTTGGTATGCTTTTTTTATCTCTTCTTTTGTTGCCTGAACGCTTGAGCTGCCTTGTGTTTATCCTGAGTGGCCTTGATGCTTCTTTGTCCCTTCTCTGAGTTGCCTGCCTTGCCTTATTGTTCGTTTATGGCCCAATGATGAGTATTCCTCTGAGGGTTCTGTGGTTTGGCTTTGGATGCTTTGTGCTTAGGCAGGTATGATACTTGACAGAGGTTTGGTTGTTTTGAATGTGATGATAGGCAGGTTATGCTTAGCACAAAGGTTTTTATGTTAATGGTTAAGGCAGGACAGGTTTTATGTTAGGCCTCAGGCAGGGTGAGTGTTTGGACATATGTTGAGTTGAATGGTACAGGTTTTAGGCTTGTGATGTTTCACAGGTTTTTGTTTTAGTGAGGCTTCAGGCTTGAAAACTGGTTTTTTGGTTGGAGGCTTAACAGGTTTATACTTAGGCAGGTCTTGGCCTTGAACAGGGTTTTACTGGTTTTTTGGCTTATGAGGTTTTTGGCGTTTGATAGGTTAATCAGCTTTTTTCTAGTTATTGTGAACTGGCTTTTGTTTTAAGAGTTTACAGGTTGTGAGGCTTTTGGATAGTTTGTTCTATATCTTTGACAGGTTCAGCAGGCTTGGCCTTTTGTTCATCAGGCTTGGCCTTTTGTTCAGCAGGTTTTGCCTTTCTTTTAGGTGTATTGGTTTGCCTCTTTTCCTTTACTGTACTGTGTTTAGTTCTTTATATTTTCTTCCTTCCTGCCTAAAGCCTAAACCTGCTTTCTTTTTCTCTTATTCTTCTCTCTCCAGTACAATTTATATATTTAAAATATGCTTATGCTGTACTTTTGTTCTGAAAGGGCCACTTGGGAAATGATGACAATGGGATAGTTTGCTTGCATAACCATTTTTCTCTGCATATTTGTCCCTTCTTCCAGATTTTGTGCTTTGTATCTTTTCAAATCTTCTTCTTTGATAGCTTGGGTAGCCTTGTACAGTTTGACAGCAAGTTTGAATTTTTCAGTTTGGACTTTGTAGTTTGATTTGCACTTTGGAGTTTTGAGATTTGAACTTATGCAGTTTGGACAATTTTTGAATTGTGCAATTTTGACTTTTGTGCATTCATTTTTAGCAAATAAAAACTCGTCCCTCTTTGTGAACCGGGAGAAATCCCGTGATTTGCAGAGAGGGTTAACTGATCCCAATCAGTGGCCCTTAATGATGAATTTTATATCTGTCTCTTTATTTATTTATTTGCTATTTGACTTTTCTTCTTTTCTTTTGCAGATGAATAATTGGATGGAGAGGGGTATTAAATGAAGAATGAAGAATTGGAGACT